TATATATATATATATATATATTACTCTAGGGCTGATTTAGAGTGAACTGCTCTAACATATTACAAGCTACTCATTACAACAAAATGTAACTGTTAACAGATAAGGGAAGCTAGCTTTATGTTTTGGAGGAATGACAGTATAATATATAGTACAATCTAATATGTACATAGTCATTGTAACCTGATCTGATGTGTGCTTAAGATATTTAAGATTATGCCTTTTCAACAGGTTTTCAGTAGAAACAACACTCTTGACTAGGCAGCAGTCAATTCACTATTAAAGTCTAAAACAATATCCATTTAATATTTTTGACTTTTTTTTAGTTTACTCCATAAGTATCATGTCTTCTGTTTGTATGCTGTTTTCTTCTTCTGGATCATTGATTTATTGTTAAGCTCTATGTCCAGGGGTAGTGCTAGATCATTTTACTAAAATTATCTAGAAAAAATTAAATATGTCTAAAAAAAATTGAACTAGATTCCTTACTTTGTCATCACTATCAAATTTTAAAATCAAATAATGATATATGAATATTTTTTATGCAATTTATTTATAAAAAAAATTACATATCATCATTTGATTTGAAAACCTAATAATGTCATAAAAAAATTTATCTTTAAAGTTTGTCTTTAAAACAAAGACCACCTATTCTTTATCAAAGTAATACAAAGATTAAATAATCCAAACAATGATGATTTTGATGATAAATGAATGCTAAATTTAACAAAATGTTTCAACTAAACTATAAATGAACCTTCACCAATGTATCAACTATCAACAACCAGATGAAGCCTAAGAGTGATGATATCAACAACCACAGTAGTAAGACCCTTGTTAGCTTTTACCTACCTTGGACCTTCGGGATGCATTCTTTGATTATATTTACAAAATAGACAAGGAATTTAAATACTAAATGCTATGCATGACCATAAATTAGATGACAAGCAAAGAATTAAGGCACGAACAATTAACCGAGATCAATTTCAACCCTTTCTGGATTTCCCCTTTCAGTTTGGTTAGCTACAAGCTCAATTCTCAGTTGTCCTTTATCTCCAGCTCCAAATGCATACAGCTTCCCTGATTCAGTGAGGGCAAAGGTATGAGCATTCCAATATATAGAATTCGTCTTTCAGCGAGGTGACAAGTTCCGGACTTAACACATTTGCATGTCTGTTACCCTGTACAAATACAATCACATTATAGTTTACTTTATGTGAAGTGAATATAATTTATAATTGAAAATGTTAAAGAATACAAAGCATATAATTTATAACTTCTACAAATTTCAATTATTGTATTCACTTGCTAGAGCTCATGGTGTTATGATTGTGCAAAATCAAAAAATAAGGGAAAGAAAATGTGTCAATCACATAATTTAAACCAAATCAAATAAATAACACAAATCAAACATTTTAAAATTATAATTGAATTGAGGATTAAGGTTTCAAAAGACCAATTGAGGCTTCAAAAGTTTCTTTTAATTAAGTAGAATACTTTACAAATTTAGTCAAATAAATGAGAGAAAAATGAAATATATGTGTAAGTGTAACGAAAACATCCAAACTTTGGCTACTTGTTCAAAGAATAGGAAAATTCCATTGCTCAGTATAAGTGGTAGCCAAATTAAAAACAGAAGAAGAAAAAAATTATAATTCACTTTGTGTAGGTTCCTGGGAAGATACATCTTGTGTTAGAGTACTGTAAAGGGGGAGATCTCTCCATGTACATTCAAGGCCATGGAAAGGTGCCAGAGGCAACTGCAAAGCATTTTATGCAGCAGCTGGGTATGTTTCAACTGTATACAGTTTTGTTTTCTTTAAATGTTCTAGTATTAAAGGACAATTCTTTGTGTTTCAGCTGCTAGCCTACAAGTTCTTCGGGATAATAACCTTATTCATCGAGACCTGAAACCACAGGTTTTTATTTTGATTCTAATCTGTACAGAATAAATGCCTATTAATTGGTTTGTGTCTCATTTGTTCTGAATCCTAGTTGATGCCCTTCTATATAAAATTTAATCTTTGTATGAAGGTTGTGTTGTTATTTTATCTTAGAATGCTAATCCCTATCATCCATGAAACAGAATCTTCTTCTTTCTCGGAATGATGAGTTAAAATTTAATCTTCTTCTTAAGACCCAAAAAAAATGATAAAGATGTCATAAAAGCCCATCTTTTTTTTGTTTTCTTTTCAAAAGGATTACTTTTGACTTGACATAGTTAAAGTATGTTTTTAAATGAGTTCAATTCAATGTGTCAATAATAATAGTGCAAATAAGTTTGGGGTTAAAGCTCCCATGAATTTCTAAGTCCTTACATTGTGATCTCACAAATTACACCACCTTACTTGCTTTGACATTCTTATGTTTTGCTTTGCCTGGGAGTATCTATCTGACTTTCAATTTTCTCGGTATTCTTTCTTGAAAAGGTTCTCTCTATATTCCTTTCTGTAATCTAGTAATTATAGAATATTTTTCTTCCCTGGCAGATCTCTGCAACCTCTGGGCCTTGCTGAAACCTTGTGTGGTTCACCACTCTACATGGCTCCAGAAATCATGCAACTACAGAAGTATGATGCTAAGGTGATTTAAATTTTAATATCTTTGGAACACCAAAGTATTCATGGTTAGTTGTCTTCCTATTTAGCTAGAATTAAACATGCAGGCAGATCTCTGGAGTGTTCGTGCAATCTTATTTCAGCTTGTTACAGGAAGAACACCTTTCACTGGAAACAATCAAATACAGGTATAAATTAGTGCCTCTTTCTATTGTTGTATTTTGAGTATTCTCTCAATGCAAACAAAGTTTTTTTCTAACCAATAATCGAATAATCTATATATTTTGGTGCTATCATCAGTAGTGTTGTCCTCCAAATGGGTACGAGTCTTTTGACCTTCTTAATGCAAAGACTTGTGTCAGAAATTGCTACGCCGGAATCCAGGTATGTTTTGATTTTATTGTAGATTAAGATTTGAGACATAAATGAAGGTTGATTCTCTGGGTCGGTTTACAATATTTAACAGTATCATTGGTAATTATTTTATCATAGTTACTTGTCTAATATTGTTTTAGAATTTCTTGGTGCTGTTTATGATTAATTGCATGGGAAACTAGTTCCAGTAGAGAGGGTGGGGGAGTGCATGCATGCTTCAAACCTGCCTATGTGAAATTAGATTTTCTTTGGTTAGCATTAGCATAACAGCTCCTTCACAAAATTACACCGATAAATCTGATTTTCATTGATGTTTCAGGCTTTTAGATAACTGAAATCATCCTCTTGCTAATGTAGATTAAACCATTAGATAGGCAAATGCTTATTTTGGCTTTCGGTGTAAGATTTAGATACATAACTACTTGATACAGGGGTCCTGTTGCAGAGGAAAGTTATCACTCATTGGTAGGAGTATAGGCAAGGCAACTTTCAAAGGGAGTCTTATGAATTACGAAAGGTTAGCCCCATGTACAAGGGGTAATTAATTTGGGATTGAGAATAGATGATTAGTTGGAGCTTGATTTAGTGTTTAATTGATAAAATATGCTTTTAATAAGCCCTAGTTTTTGATATAAAATATAAATTAAGAGAAATTTACATTCCAACATACACAACCCTTCATGCTCTACTTTTTCAACAGTTTTTCATGAGAGAAACAAGGAAAAGGGGATGATATAAGAAGTTCATTGGATACTTGTCAAGTTATCACGATTTTCAGCATATTCCATATCTTATATAGTTCTTATGATTGTTCTGTATCTTATTTTTAACTTCAGTGGAACGTCTAACTTTTGAAGAATTCTTTAACCACCCATTCCTTTCTCAGAAGCAAACAGAACAAGACCCCACGTTTTGCTGGGTGCCACCAACTCTCTGATATGATCAGTAAGCCCATGCAAGACAAATTTGTACAGTAGGGAGCTCAATGTTGACCTTTCCTGTAGTCCAATAGTATAAAAATTCGTCTGTGACCCCACGTTGTGTTCTCACTAGTTGTGACTCCATGCTACACACATTTCATTGCACACGTATAGGCTACAATGCTAAGTTATGAACACCTTCTCTAGAGTCTAGAGCCTTTGTAATCTCCTGACATCCTATTGTACACCTTTTCTAAATTGATGATAGCTACCTGGATTTTTTTTTATTCCTCCAATATCTCTATTAAACTTTCTAGCAAGTATATGTTTCCATTTCCTGGTTGACCTATTCAACCTTAAACCAAATTAATCAAGTCTCTAGTCTTGATCTTCACTCAATTACAGTCCTCCATATAGCTTCACAGTATGACCATGTAATTCTATAATTTTTTAACTTCTGTATTTCATTCTTGTTCTTGTATATAGGGATTTGTTGTATATAAGGATTGAAGTACTTGTCTAGGTGTCTGGCATTATCTTACACCTCATAATCTTGTTAAACAAATTTTGAGCCATCTTATGCTTTTTTCTCTTAGGCCCTTCTATACCTCAATAGGCATTATCATGTGATCCAATTAATTTGCCATAGAATCTCAACTTAACAAAAGCATAGTTATGAGTCCAAAATATTGATGCAGTGGCTGAATACATAGTGCATGTTTGGGAATGTGTTTCAAACAAAACAAATGCCATTTCCCACTTTCCAAAGCAAAAAGTGTTGAAGCAAGGGGAGAGTTGCTTTAGGTTTAATGTGGGTTTCTGGGAGTTCAACTCCAACCCAAACATGCTGTTAATCGTTACTGTGGCTTGTGCGATGGTTGCTATTTTTTTATACAAATTAAATAATTACATATTTAATATTGTTCGTGTATATATGTTGAAAATCCAAACTGAAAATAAAAAATTGTTCATAATTCAAAAGAGAACAGAGAACAAAGAAGAAGAAAGGCCAGAAGAGTCTCAAACAAAGAACAAAACAGAGCAAAGTCATGGGAACACCTCCGCAAGACGAAACGCAAGGATAACGTTCTCCGTTGTTTCTCCGGTCTCGGAGGGCCGTGGCTGAGAGGTTGCACGCAAGGATGAGAGAGAACACGACGGCTGCACAGAGACGATGACGGAATCGTCGAGGCAAGCGCAATCGTGCTTGAGAGCGGTGAGGTAGCGATTGGGGCGGAGGAAGTGAGCGGAAGGGGCAACGTCCTGCAAGAGAAAGAGAAAGAGGAGAGTTAGTCAGTGAGTTAGGGAAATAGAGAATAGAGGGTTAAGGACAGTTATAGTTACGAGAGAGAATGTGGAAAGAGGGAATGTGGCTGAGGACGGAGGAGGTGAAGGCCAGAGAGAATGTGGCTGCGCGCTTGAATTGAGAGTGAACGCGGCGGATTATTTTTGAGGCTCCATCTAATTCAGTTTTAAATAAAAATTAATGTCCATCACTTAACATCTAAGTCAGTTTTACTTTAAATCATCGTAGATATATTTCTGTAGGTTATTCTACAATGGATATTGTCTAAATCGTCGTAAATTATAATTTTTATTTATAAAAATGTCATCGCATCTTATTTTATATATTTTTTAATAAACTCACTTACATTGAGTAACTTAGATTACTTTTTTTTGTAGTGGTGCTAATTTAATAAAAATATTATTATTGTAATTCATTCTCGTTTAAACAACAATTTTATATATTTTCTCTCGCTAAATTCATTCATTTATACTTCTTTTTTTACATAGAGATACTTATTTTATTTCATTCATGATAAGAGTAAATGCAAGTAAAAAAATTGCTTAAAAATACAATGCTAGCGTACAATTGTGATGCTCTAATTAAAGTATAAGCAACATAATTTACTTACCTCTTGATAAAAACTCACCATATTTACCTTTGAACACTTCAGAAAAACAATAACACATCTGAATTAGAAATGAATTTTCATCTTTACTTTCTTAGCATGACTAAGTTAAAACCATGAAGATGTCTAAATCTCATTCCACCAAATTCTTTTTTCATGGTTAATCACTCTCAACCAAGCCAATTAATTCCTTTTTGTGAGACTTCTTTAGATCCCTTCCAAAAGAAATTCATCATATTTTGCAATTCTTCTTCCAAGGTAGTGAGAAGCACAAAAAAAAAAAAAACACTCATACAGAGAGTTGGGATGGCTTGTGCACATGATAAAAATTTCTCTGACTATTTGGATAATTGCTTCGCAGACCAATGAAGACGCTTCCATAGCCTATTCTTCATGAATCCAAATATTGCTTTCTTCTTCTTTCGAATTATGGAGGGAAGACCCAAATATCTATTATTTCCTATACAATCTCTCTCATAAAGGAAAAACAAAGTTCCTTGATAGAATTGAAGACATAGTATTAGAGTTGAAAAATGTTTTTGACTTCTGGTAATTAATTAATTTATAAGACATTTTGTAATAAGTATTGTAACTACCCGATAGGTTCTTATATTTTACAGCTCAATAACTAAACAATAAAAAATATAAACCTAATTATTTTTAAGATTATCATGCAAACAAATCCTAGAAATACATGTTGCAATATACATATATATAATAATCGTTAAATATGTCAATATTTTTAATTCAATTTAGACAAGTATCTAGCATATTTTATGCTTTAAGTCTTTTTTTTTCCTTTCAAAAATTATAATTCTAATTTTTTCTGGTTAATTAGTAAAGTTCTTTTAGTTTTAGGTATTTTTGATGTTTTTTGGTTGAGTTTTCATATATAATGCTTTCATCTCGTTCTGAATGACTTCATACCATCTAGGTGTTCCAAGCGAGTCAACTCAGAAGACACCCCTAAAGCACCATGAAAAGTTTGCTCAAGCCATTTGCACACTTTCAGCAAGCTAATATAGCAATGCAATCGTTGATACGTCATCAAGCTTGCTTAAGTGAGCCAACCTTTCGCTTGAGCGGGCTCGCGCATAAAAGCCCACTTAAGACATTATAAAATTAAGGCTCGAGAAATGTAGCAATTGACTTTGTTTTTTAGTATTACTTATAGAGATTAGAGAGACTAAGAGTGATAGTCTTGAATTCACAAATCTCTCAACAATCTCAGTTTATATTTGTGAGTGAATTTCTTAACCAAAAGTGATTAAGTTCTTTATTGTTAGGGATTGACCCTACTTTATATAACTTTTTACCATTCTTATCCAATAAAAGTTTTTATTTAGTTAATTGTTGTTATTCTATTCTTAATGCATGTTTTGACTTAGTTATACTCTCATGATCTCATAGAATTAATTATGGTCGGAAAACTCCTTTAAAGCTACTATATGAAAAATAACATTAATAATATTTATTACTAATAATAACACAAATCTTATTAGTTAATTTTTGTGTCTCCTATCTTAATGCGAGTTTCTTAAAAAAATTTATCAAGGAATTGAGATTTCCTTTAAATAACCTAGAATTTCTCACATAAGGAATTAGAGTTAAAATATATTTGTTGACTATTAAATTAATTTAATAATTACAAAAACAGGATAATAATTGGCAAAGATACGTTTGAGAAAGGTTAGTAAAATCAATCCCTGACATCTTTTATTCATTAATTTTCAATTCTTATTTTTAATATGTCTTCTTATTCTATGTTCTTTATTTTTTATGTGTTCTTAAAATAAATATTTCTTTTTATTCTTAATCAACATTAAATTAAATTAATCAATCATAGCACAAGTCTTTGTGGATTTAATAACTTAGAGTTCTGTTCAATTTACTATCTACGATAATCGGTATACTTGTCAAACGCGTAACAATGTACAAGGATATTCAACTGAAAACATAAATACAAATCTCTCTATGGGATTACATAAAAAGATCCTATACATATATGTATACAATCATTCAAAAAGTGTAAACGTAAATCCTAAGTTGTCAGTCAAACAACTACTATACAAGTTGTGTTAAAATAGCCCCAAACAAAAAAATCATCATCTCCAGCATAGCCCTCAAAACTCTGCTCAACCTCCTACCTAATCATGTGATGCTCTCATAATAATATGATCATCATATTCCAATACCAAGGAAATGTAAAGGTAAGCTTGAAATCGAGAAACAACGTAATACAGAAGCAAATAAGCTAATTACATAAAATAACTCCATTAACAAAACACAACAACAACCTAAGCTCAACTTGAATAACATAAATCAACATTCATCACAACTTATAAATATAACAATTTTCAATGTGTCAACTTAACATATAAATAACTCAATTTGTCAATAACGTAGTCATATAACAACTAAACGACATATTAGTTTACAACACAACTCAACAACATATCAATTTAGACAACACTGCAACTCAATACGTCATCACATGTTTTAATTAATAGATCTCTTACAACAAGGTAAGTAGTCTAAGTGGGTTGATCCTATCAAACCAACTTAACAATGCCATTTTTTTAACTTGCTAAATCAATAATAAATTTGGATATCAATCCACAATACCACATAATTTCTTTGATTTTGTCACTCAGACTAGGAAAGTCTAGTATTCATGTCATGAATATAATAATATGGGTGTGAGCGTACCATGACCTTCACAAGCATAACTAAGCATATACGAAATTAGCTCATTGACTACCCTCTAAATATTGCACAACTTTCTAGTACTTAGTTAGGAATTTTGGCCTTGTACCTTACTCGATTGCTTGCTTCTAAACTCGTATGGCTCAGTAGGCCCTATACAATATCAATTAAGGACTAAAAGGAGACTCAACACTCCACTTCAAGAGACAACTATACTCATGAAGAGTTTTTCAACAAATGGACTCTTAGAGCATCACAACACATATCCACACAATTGGATATTTCAACTTTTAAAACAACACCTCTCCTTTATTCTTAAGTTAACAGCACAACATAACTACATACATCAAGTATTCACAACACAACTTCATTAAATAATATACAACATATCATCATACAACTCTACTCCATACAAATTCATCTAATAATTAACTTATAACTTTATCAAATTAAAACATCATCATATATCATCATAAATCAATATATAATGACCTAGATTAAATCATCATCATGCATCATGTAGACGACTATCCTACTCAACATATTTTCATCACTTAATAAACTAAATCACGAGCTTTTCTTCAACATAACCATGCTTGATGTTGTGCACCTAGTGCTGGGTGAGGTACAGAGCCTTTGGCTCACTTGCACCCAACGCCAAACCACCTACACCCAACAAGAATAAGACAAAGAGTCCCTATGTACACCATGCTCAATGTTACAAAACCCATGTTCGATGTTGTTTAAGTAAAGAGTCTTTGCTTGACCCATGCCTAGTGCCACAAAACCCAAATTCGATGTCGTCCAAGTATAGAACCACTAACTAGATCATGCTTGATGCTACACAATCTGTGCTCAACGTCATCGAGTTAGAGAGCTCCTTGAGCAATCATGCCCAACACCCCTCAATAACCCACGCCCAACATAACCAAGTCAAAGAGCTCCTACTGACTCACTCCCAACATTACCTATCTTGCGCTTAGTGTTATTCAAACAAAGAGTTGATTTGCATCATGCCTAACATGATGGCAATTTTTTCACTTGGTGAAATTGCGATTTGGCTCCATTAATTCACCTACAAATTCAATTCCAACCTATGATGCAACTCACAATATTACATTGATCTATACATCACCAACAATTCAAATAACCAAAGAATTCCAATATACAATCTGCAAGATTCACATCCGCCAATTCCTTCTTATTTTTACCAAAAACTATAGGAAAACTAAACATAAAATTATTCACTACTCAATTCAACATCTCAACACAAATTTGGTGAATCCAAGTAGCACACAACTCATACAATACAACAAGAAACAAATCTACAACTTTCCCTAACCTAAACTTTCTCAAAATTAAGGGAAAGGAAGAAGAATGGCAAAGAACGAGGTCCTTTGAGCTTTGTTGTATGACAACTACAACTCTAGATTCTCAGCACTTCAAGCTTTAAATCTATACTCAACCACTCAATCTAACTATGGGGAATGATCTATAAGCTTTATGAGATCAATAGAGGGAAGAACTCTCTCCCACTCTAGAGCTCCTCTCTTTAACCTCTCTTTAAGCTTCTTAAGAAAACCTCTCTTTAAGTTTCTTATGAAGTTAGTCTTAAGAAAACCTTAATACCTTCCCCTAAACTTAGTTAACTTTGATCCCAACTCAACACAACTCCTAAAAAACTAAAATCCTAAGAATCCATAAATCTTGAGTTTTTAAATCATTAAAACAACAAATCACATAATCATTTAATTAATAAAATAACTAAACAATCATAAAACTCTGTGTTACAAGTATCAATAATAACTAAAATGGATGTGATCTCCTTTTCATATAGCCTTCAAAACTGAAAACAATTGCCTAC